TCCGACGTGACGAAAGGTCGTATTAACTCTATATGTGCCATTATAGCAACGATGGACCTTCAGTCAGGATAGTTGGTTGGTGGACCTGTGTTTATTCTTGCAGCCTATTTTCCAGTGAAGATCTAGCTTCCCCTTGAAAATGTTCACTGATGAGACTGATGCCATTTGTTTGGGTAAGACGTCTTCATGATCCAGTCGATCATCATAGTATAGAGCTAGGCTGCTAATTTTCTGTAGACTAAACAACAAACAGTCGATATTCTTTTGGTTTCAAGCGTGAAATCGGTCTTTTTCTACTTGAACAAGAAATACATGGTATTTATGCTTGTTTGAGTTTGATGACGATTTTACTTTGAGTTGTTTTACAACTAGTCAACCTATTCCACTATTTGTGCAACTACGATTGTACACTTTATTTACTTTTACTAACATCAGAGCCATTGAAATGTTAGGAATCTTGAGTAGTTTAATAGACCCTGAAGTTAAAATGGTGATGCACTTAGAATCGCTTCCTGAAGAATAGAGTTTTATTGCTTGAACTCAGTACGTTAAAGTATTCTGAAAGAATAATTGTAATTAGACTACATTTCTAATGTTACTGGCTTGTATTATCAACTCTAAGATTAGTATGATAGCTAGAAGTGGAACAGCCATAATTTTGTACTTCAAGGTTCATTAGGTACGGGGATTCCTTAAATTTGCTGTTAAACAAAACACTGTCAAATTTTTACTCTTACCGTAATCAACTCTTGTTCCCGAAACCTGAAGTTTGCTACCTATTTTCTCTTTAAATATACGGGTCTTGATTAATTCATTTTGAAACATATTAAAGCTTTTGTGTTAAGCTAATTAGCTTCCACTAAGATTTTATTAAACTATATAGCGTATCTCGCCAAAACAAATTTCTTTACCTTTTCTAACCAGTCAATGTAACTCATTCTTCATAATCTATTCCGAACAAAATAGAATCAAGAAGGAACGAAATGAGCGAAGAAATGTCTTTTCAATTAGTTTTTCATCATGGCTCTACACTAATATACATACGTTTTAAAATAATAATATAATACTCATGGAGTAGATATGTTACGTAATAATTACATAATGACATTTAAATTAACATTGATTGTTTGGAAGAAAGAGGATTATTAATATTCAAAGTGATCAAGAAGTTGCTACGTTGCGTAATGTAAGAAACAAAGAAGGAACAGAATTTTAACGGATGGTCAATAGGATGGTAGTTACGTAAGAATCAAAAGATGAATGTTGAGAATTTATTAAGTTCAAAAGCAACAGAAACAAAATCACAAAAGTTAACAGAAAAAAACAAGTTGAAGAAGTATGAAAATGGTCAAGTTTATGAACATGGATTGCCATGGCTTCCACAATGTGCAAGAGGCGCACTCGTAAACCATGTGGCAAGTTTGATGGGATATTGTAGATAACCTTAAAAGCTTTATTCAATTGGACTTCATGACCTGTGTCAACCAAGTGCGAGAAAATGGAACTTTTAATCACTTTTACCTGTCCTTTATTTAACCACGACGGATGATGCGATGACGGACTTGTCGAATTGTTCGCCCAATATAACTGGCTTCACAGGAGCAGTTGAAACAATAGATGCACATAGATTTGGCGAATTCAGGATGTCTGTCTTTGTTGGCTGTTCTTATTTTGGGATAGTTGTAGAAGATGGCATCTAATCTGGCAGCATTAATTGTTTTTTGTACGGCTCTTCATAGTTTCTGAGTCAAGATTTCTTCAATGGTGTCATTTATGAATGGTAGTTTTATGAATAGTACCTTCTTATGGACGGTGGGTATCTTTGTCCTTCTTTTCTTCTCCATCATATGTTTGTCAATGAATTTCATGGGATACCCATTCATACTAATTAGGTTTCGAATATTATTCAATTCTTCTTGAATGATGTCTTCAGAGCTCTGCTCTTCTTTTTAGTTGGACATCTAGAAATGATATGCTGTCGTTCTGTTCATCTTCTGATGTAAAATTAATTGATGGATGAACGTTATTAAATGTATTAAGTAATTTGTCCTTATCATTTTCTTTTTTTTGTTAGCTTTTGTAATTTTGTTTCTGTTGCTTTTGAACCTAATAAATTCTCAACATTCATCTTTTGATTCTTACGTAACTACCATCCTATTGACCATCCGTTAAAATTCTGTTCCTTCTTTGTTTCTTACATTACGCAACGTAGCAACTTCTTGATCACTTTGAATATTAATAATCCTCTTTCTTCCAAACAATCAATGTTAATTTAAATGTCATTATGTAATTATTACGTAACATATCTACTCCATGAGTATTATATTATTATTTTAAAACGTATGTATATTAGTGTAGAGCCATGATGAAAAACTAATTGAAAAGACATTTCTTCGCTCAATTCGTTCCTTCTTTATTTACCAAATGGCAAAATGGGAATTTTTAAAATAGAATCAGTTTATATATTAAGAAGATAAACCCTCTCTGAAAAGATTTCTCTCCGAAATGCTTGACTCTATGTTACTATGATCAATAATTCGTAAATAGAAATTAACCGTACTATTAGTTAACTTCTATATCAAACGTGCGACCATTCTGCTGACGTCAGTTAGTGACTTGTAATCGATTATTCCATTAGAAGAAATCTCAGGTTTATGTTGTGTGATAGGTTGGTTAAAATTCTACAATAACACATCACTTTGTATCGTAAAACCGTTACTAAGACCGTTAGTGACATATTCGTACGCAGAGCGGAAATGTTTGGCAATTCGAAAAGTACGCTTAGGATTTTGTATGAGTTGTTTCCTGAGTTTGAGACTCCTGACTCTTGAAGTCAGATAGTTGCGAGATTGAGTACGGAGTTATTTATCGAGACTGTACTAATAAGCCTGTGTTTGAAGCTTTGGTATAAAACCTCTTATTGTCTAGTTCAGAGCATGAGGTAGTTTGCTGAACTGTGTGATTTCTTGTCAGTTGTAAACAATTTTTCAGTAGTCTTGGTTTGTTGAAAAAGCAAGAATTTATCTTTGTATTCACTCAGTATTCTCTAATGGATCATAGGCTTCTCTATCAATGGAATTTATAAATGGGCTAAAGTGTTGTCTTCTTTAGAATTAGGGTAAATTCCAAGCCTTGAAACAGTTCAGGTAGTCTTCCAATCCCAAAGGTAACGCTACAATAGGTAACTTCCCAATATTTTTAGAAACCAGGTTATCCGCGACTCCAGATGTGAAATATGAATAGGCTAACGAATTGCTATTTATTCCATATAAGCTTGAGCTTCAATAAGACCCAATCAAGAAGTTGAATTTAAAATGTTCTAAAGGAGATCGTAATTTTTTATTATAACAGATTAACACAACGTTAAGCATTTATTCACACTGTGTTAACTATTCACCTAAGTACAAATAAATATTTTTAGGCGTTTAGAATACTTGTCTGAAATTAAGTCCTTTTATTATTTCAGGTGGTAATATAGATACTGATTTTTAAAGGTAATTATGTTAGCAACTATCTTGCAGTCTACAGGTCCTCCTCTCAAATGAGTGTAGTGTCGGTAAATAAAAATTTAAAATTCACTAAGTTTTGAAAAATGGTAATTACTGTAGTTTCATATAAAATAATGTGTTTGTAATATCCCAATGAGTAGAAAAAATTAGATTTTCTGACGTTTCGTGATTCAGTGTAGGTCACTTCTTCAGAGAGTAAATAGCCAAATCAAAATTAATCCAAGTTTAAATAGTTGTTCCTCTGTACCATTTAAACTTGGATTAATTTTGACTTGATTACTTACTCTCTGAAGTAATGGCTTACACTGAGATTCGAAACTTCAGAAAATCTACTCATTTGGATATCACAAATATTTTAATAGTTGAGATCGTGATTTAACTGGAGCTAGACCACCATGGAAAACGTGGAAGCACTGAACGGCCGTTTCGTCCTATTATGGCACTTCTTAACAGTGCGCATCCACAATCCCACGTCGCAAGACTCGAACACAGGAACGATCGGTCTCGCGCTTGAACGCTCAACCTCTACACCACTGAGCCGGCATCCAACGGTGTTAATGTCTAACTTCAACTAATCCACGAAATTGAGCGATACATCCACCGCAGATGAGTCCCATAATAGGAAGAAACGGCCGGCCAGTGCTTCCGGGTTTCCTATAATGGTCTAGCTTCAAGTGACTCATGATCTCAACTATTAAAATTATTATTATATTCACAAAACCCTTTCTAATATTACAACTATATTATTTTATTTATGACAATCCACACAATGCTAAATTTATTCGGAATTATCAAGTCAAACCTTGGTCATGATACTTACTATGATTTTATTTAGAGCAGTTTGAAATTATTTCATATTAAGGCCTACGGGTTTAAGCCTACCCAACTTAGTTATCAGCAAGATTTACCCATTTATAAAATGTACTGTCATAAGTAATTCCAAGTTTTTACATCAAGCTGTCACTCACGTTTTAGAAACTAATTAAACGCTTGGAATAATTTGTGACTTATTTCTGGTATTGTTATTCCATTCTTATAACTGCGTCACAGGTGAAACATGGAAAACGCATCCTATTGAAGTTTTTCAGAAGAAGTTAAGCTCTAACATTAAAAAAACTAAGACGACTTCAAAGTCAGTCATGTAAGTTTTGCTATGCCTTTTTAATTTAATGATGGCGAGTAGGTGAAACGTAAGTGCAAGTATAAGAAACTCTAGATTTCAATGCATAGATAATGGTAGAAAATGTAAGCGGTTTTTATAAGCATTGCGTAGATTATTGAATAGATCCCATTCCCGTCGTCGAATATTCATTGAATTTGCTCGCTACTTCAGTTGTAGAATAACATTTTTCTACAATGCAAAACAAACAAGTGAAAGCAACATTTACGTAGGATTCAGTATCAAAGAGGCGAATTCTCAAGTTCTTGTTATAAATAGACAAAAATATCATTTCTTTAGGTGTTAACTTCCATAAATCATAAAAAACGTAAATGTATTGTGTGAGTTACTTAAAGTAAATTATTTCACGCTTAGCATTGTTTTGTAAATGCTGCATTTAAGGATTACAGTTCTATAGCCAACCAGCATGACAGCGATGCTGCCTTCCCACAAGGAGACGTGTAGTTAGAATAGGTTGACGCTAAAAATGCGTACCTCGCCTTATCCGATGGATATCTGTCTCTGGTAGTAAGACTTCAACAATTGAGGAGCTAACACAAAAATTACTCACACGAAAGTCGCGTGTGACCGATACCTCATGCAGTTGTACCTTGGTCATTTTAGTCACGCTCTTAGGTCACTAAGATAACCTCTAATCCAACTACCTTTTCAGGTACCTCCAGAAGAACCCTTCCACAGTGTGAGCAACTGGGATGTGATAATCACTGTCAAACCTCTAGCAGCAATCAAGACTTTTAATTTTATTTTCTGCCAACACCATGAATTAAGTTTTGAGGCCTTCTTAATTATATCGATAGAATCCAATAATTAGGCTAAATTCATTTCGTTTGTATTATAGATCTTGTCAATTCGCTGATTTTAGCTCATAAATGTCAACCTGTTAGGTCGCATGGGAACAAATAAAAGACGCGAACAGACAACAGCATCTATTAGGGAAATACGGAGTTGGGGTATTTAGATGTTCTGAGGTTGCTATGTAGTAGACTTAACCCTGTTAAATTCACTTAGATATCCATCTTTTATATTTTCTCTAAAATTAGGGAGTTTTATCGACCACAAGATGAACATATTCGTGAATTGGAGAAGATCGCAACTATTATGGAGGCAGAAACCTCCGATGTAGAAGTAACCTCCAATCATCATTCTATTAGGCGGCAAACGCGAATTAATACAATGGTTATTAGTGTTGTATTTTGTGCCAACGTGGTAAGTATAATATCACTGATAATTAGTTTATGAACATTACCAAAACGGAAAGGAAGGAAATTTCATTCTAATGCAGAATGAACTATCCTTGGTGAATTCTAATAAGTTATTAATGCTCAGCGTTTACATGTTTTCATCTAGCTATTGTAACATAGGAAAATTATTTAGAATATATGATAAGTTTACAAACTAGTAATCTGTCATCTGGTGTTTCGATTGATCTTAGTTCATCATCTGCAGATTTTGCATCTGCTTTATTACTTTCGCTCTAAGCAATACCCGTTTAATTGACGACTAATGATTTCAAATAACCAGTCATTCACAACGAACGCGAAATGTTGATTTCTAGTAATATAAGTTTAGTGGTTTACGGATCGTAAACATCAAATCGTTTTTTTCCATAGCATAAGTCTGATATAATTATCAGATGACTAAGATTAAAAAAATCATTTGTTACCAAAGTGCCGTGTAAATTTGTTACAATTTCAGTGAATATAGGGAGATTAAGTTTACTGGTGTCTTGGATTAATCAACCAATTTTCTATGAGTTCATCCTCTTCAAAATAACGAACTAGTAAAAGCTCTTTTCTAAATTTTTACGTTAGACGTTTGGTTTTATTTTGATATAATTCCTACACTAATTTATTCTCCTTAAATTTTATGAATGTGACACTTCTTTCACCATGAAATCAATTTACATTTTATTCAGTGAAATTTCAAATGAAAAATATAATTTTCTAATAGTGTTATTATTTGTCTAACGATTTTACATTGTTTGTATAAAAATAACTTGATAACTTTTGATTATCATATTGCCCATTTGGAATTACATCAATATAGGTACTTTTATTGGGTAAAGCTGTAGCATCTGCATTATCAGGGTCATTAGCAATCATATCATCTTTGTTAGATAGTTGTGTCGATTTGGCTTCCGGTGGTATCATGTGGTTTGCTGCTCGTCAAATGCGTAAAAGGAAGCCATACAAATACCCAGAAGGTAATTTGGTTTAAAAATATTTTAACTGATCATAAAATGATCTACGGTCTGTAGGCTGGTTAATTCAAACTGTTGTTACAGTTGTTTTAAATGATCTTTTAAATACGACATGCAGTATGAATGACTCTCAAAATATGGACTGGTGAATGATGTGTTGGAAGAATTCTGCACATTTTAAACATTTGTCAACATATAAATTTTCTGCGACTAAATTTGGCAATCTTTTAGCGTTCTCGTTTTTTGAATGTTGTTTTATACATCGATATTAATTCTCAAATCATCACTTCATCTAGTTATCGAACAAAAGTTGTGAATGTATTCGATTCTTAATAGAACAACATCATCTATTTACTGTTAGTATCTATTTACAAGCCTTTACATAATTAGACTGATTACTTCGGAAACTACTGAAATGTTCAGATATAGTATGAAGAAAGAATAAGTAACATATCATAGTAATTTGCTTCTAAATTGTTTAAGAAAAAGTGTACATCTTTCGGTAACTAGTTACCAAATTTTAACAAAATGTAAAATCAAGTTATGAGTTCAGTCACCAGGAAGTTATAAACAGTGACATTCGATAACAAAAATTATCGCAGTCACATTGGAGTGAACGCGAACTCATGTGAGGTACACCAATTGAATGTCTAATTCAAACTTACAAAAACCCTTCGAATAATATGAAAACGATACATTGAATACATTATTTGCACCTTTTCCAGTTGTTCTTGCTGTTTTCTTTAATTTAATTTCCTCAACCCATTGCTGGCAGGCATCTCATTACCGATTGCTCCTACATGCTGCTTGTACCAGTAAGCGTAAGTAACATGCATCACAGCATGTTGGTAATCATATGTTCTCTCTGTTCAACGTTGATAATGATAGGGTATGTGGCTAAATTGCCAGTCTTAGGTATTGAACTGTATGAGCTCTGAAATGGTTGAAAGTGAATTATCATCATCATCATTCAGCTATGTTGTTAAACCACATGATTGTAGTAATTACTAATTTCTAAGATACTTATTATTCATGCTTTACAGTTATTAAATTTACTGAAATATTTATCAATCATTTTTATTCTAATGTTAGGTTTTCGAAAACCATATAAAGGTGAAAGAGGAATAACGTCTCTAAAATGCTGTTATTTTATTTCCTTCTTAGAGAGAACACGACTTGAACCATTAGCAGCGATTGTACTCTCTATATTTATGGCTTGTATATTTATACAACTTCTAGCTGAATCTTTACAAAACATTGTTCGTATGTCATAAAATAATCAAGAGGCACCAAACGTTAGTGATTTAGCATTGGGAATAATGGCATCCGTAATTGGTAAGAATTATATTTAATGTTCATAAATTGTTTTCAAACTTCATTTGAAAAGCTGTGACCTAGACCCACAAGATACTTGTTGACTAGTAGTCAATATTTCATTCACTTTACCTATTGTCAATTTAATTGTCTTATATAACATAAGAAATATAATCAAAGAGTTGAACGTATCCACTAAGTCTCTTTTGTCATTTTAACCTGTTAATTTGTAATGGCAGAAGCATTCATGTTGCAAGAGTATAGAGGGTCTTCACTGAGAACTTATGTAGACACATAACAAGTAATTCGATGGCAAATAATCCCAGAATTCCCAGTAGTAACAGACAGATATCTCAATAAAATTTAACATTTAGTAAACCTCAGTACAACATTGGAAGTAATAAATACTCGGTACAACGACAGATTTCTACATAAACAAAAGCAGTACTTCTTTTTACTCAATCATGTACTGTTAGTATTATCACTATTATACTGATTAGTTAACTATTTTTTGAAGTCACTATATCATATCATTTTTTCTTCCCTATTAACGGAGATATTTAGGAGATCCTATCAGAATTTACTTTTGCACAAAAAACCTAATTAATCTCAGTCGATATCAACTACAGGAAAATTCAAATGCTTATAGAGAAAACGTAGAAGTTCTTTATTTGTAAAAGGATATGAGTATAGTTACGTTTGAGCTTGTCAAAAATCGCTTTTTCGTGACGTCCATTTATGCCTAGTTTTCGTGAAGCACCTATAAATGAATAAAGTATTTTTCAAATGCGAGTTTATGATCATTTGAAATTGAAGTAATAAATTATTTCTATCGAATGATATAAAACGATTAAATAAACTACATTTGAATCGAAAATAAAGACTGATAAGTTGAGTCTGTATAAGGACTTGTTGTAATGAATAAGTGGATAAGTATAAATGAAATATTTTGAGGATATATGCTTTGTAGACCTTAATATCGTATGGATTAGGTCCAAAGGAAAATTTATCAGTCTAAACAAACTTTGCATCAGCGTTCCGTTTTTCTCCTCTCAAATATAAGGTTTTAAGCTGTTTTAATCCCTTGAAATATTCTAAATCCAAGTTTGGTTATCACTTGGTTGAACTTATTCATCACCTCATAATGACTGGGTCTTGTAAACGGTTTTTATAAACAATGAATAGCAGAAAAATAAAGTACACAAAAACACTCTGGATAATAAACCAGTATTATCAGGGTAGGTTAAGGGTAAGAACAAATTGTTTTTGAACACATAAAGGGGATTCAGTTTCCGTATAGCCAAGGCTTCGATAAATCTTAGTATACGCCCTTGAAGGTTTTTGTACAACACTACAATGTCTGACATGTTTTCCTTGAATCACACTAGTAGTAAATCTATGTTAATGTCATTATTAAGTTCAACCACTCTATCATTATCATGTATTTTTATTGGCATTAACACATCTTATTGGTTTGTAAAACGAATGTCTATTATATTCTAGCTCCAACACCTAAATGGTGTATGTTATTAGTTTGATTATTTAGTTCCAGAATAACAATTTAATAATATGATTAAGGCTTTATTATTTGATATAATTTTCTCATCTGAACTGGAAATTGTACAGATTATGTTTGAGAAATAAACTGACGCATTTTATAAGATTTGAAGTTCTTTAAACCTTAATGGTAGAAGAATACATATTCAACTTCTTGGTCTATAAAACTACAGTTCATTCTAACTATTTCGATAGATAAAAATGTTTAAAAATCTCCATCAAATTATATCACTAATGTATGAACGAAGAATATTCTCTTCAGTTATTATTCAGTTTGTAGGTTTCAATGCCAAAATGAGACTTGATATTTTTAAATCAATAGATGATTGAGTAGGAAGTTAGTAAAAAGCACACGCTTATCTGATATCACAATGAGTAGAAAGTTGTATTTCTAGTGTATCATTTGAACTTGTGTTAATTTATTATGGGTTATTTATTTACGATTTGGAATTTTCAGATGACCTGAGCCCTCTATCTCATACAAATCAACAAATTCGGATCATGGCAGGTAGTATGACAGTAGCCTCTGAATCAGTAGGCCCCAACATACATTGGGGAAATAGCAAGATCCTCAAATACAACACGGAGAACACCAACTCAATCACACTTGATGGAAAAAACTCTGGAAGATGTGGAACGTTTCACGTATCTGGGTGGCATCATCGATGAATATGGAGGATGTGATGTAGATGTGAAAGTGAGGATCGTCAAGGGAAGGAAAGCATTTCTACAAATGGAGGACATTGTTATGACCTTGGTATGTCTGGGTTTGCTATCACGCGACCTATCCACCAATCCGGATACGACTTATACGAATCTTTACACTAGGCCAACCAATGACTTTCAACTGGTGTGGGCAGTCTAGCGTCCTTATTGGTCCTATGTCCTACGAGCCCTTCCACTTGAGTCCAGGACACAATACCAGCTTCGAATCAGAGCAGATCGTTTATTTCAAACATACTCGGTTTATATATCAACCAGACAGACCACAACACACCATAAATTAGAATATAACATGTGTACACAAAGAAGCCAAAAAGTGGCTGTGAACGAGGGAGATAATAATTAATAGACTGAACATAGATTAAGAACCCTAAATCGTATAATAATAAACTATAGGTCAAAATAAAGCTTATAATAAGAGGAATATAAATATACATAATCTAATTATTGAATAGTTATACAATAAGAATATTTATAGAATATTAGTCTACTAATAGTCTTCGGGAGTTACCTGTAATTTAATCTTCGCTCGGATATAACAGACATGTGGAACTCAAAAACACTGTCAAACAATATCAAAGTCACTATCCATTCTATAGTAGGTGATGATTAAGGTAGATTTAGAGTCATATTATCCTTTTTGTTTTATAAAACCCTTATGAACCGTTTGTTTAAAACTGATTCTCTTCTCTTTACCAGCCGAGGATATTTAGCCGAATGTCAACTTGAGGGTTAAGTGTAATTAATTATTTCCCATCTGGAAAACGTGTTGAAATTAACCAAGTTGTGATCAGTTTACAATATTATACCTGTAGGGCCCTTTATTTTGTCGTCGCTTAGGATAGGTGGACAACCGTAAGAATATAGTGTTTTACCTAACAAGCCAGTAGCTTGTTTCATCAGCTATGACTTTTTAATGGTATTGTTGTACAAAGTCTTTTTACTCGTATACTTCCTCTATCATTCAGGATCGGTAAGAACAGCATTTCTACAAATGGATTACATCTACAACTCGAAACAACTGTCAACCAATATCAAAGTCACATTCTTTACTTGGCTTTGAAGAGAATGGATACTCCGTCCATATCGAACTCTCCGAGAGCTTCCAGAACCTCACTCATCATTACTGATGCCGACTGCTCGTGCAGTGTTTCTACAGAAGTTCAGTTATTGCAGGTTTACCTGAAACTGTCTTCAAAGTTTACTCAACATTCCATCTCTAAAAATATTCTTCATCATGTCCGCATGTTTAAGAGGGCTATAGCCAACTCAAAGCATATTCAAAGAAGAGTGAACTTGTAGTGTCAGCTACTATGTTAAGCCCATATACCTCATTCAAGCTTTCGGACATCCCATTTTATTCACCCTACTCGAGCCATACTTTGACCTTGTTATTTATTCGCTTATCTGTTTTTATATGAGCGTATCTGTGTGTGCCCATCTTATCCCATTAATCACATGTCTGTAGCTTATTTTTTCTGACTATAAATATGGAGTAACGCTTGACTAAAATGGAGTTGACTTCCCAGTCATCTTCCCTGCGTGTCATTTTGCTTTGCTCTGTTTCATTCGCTTCATATACAAAATATATGTATGCACAGATCAATTCTTGTTATTCGACTTATTTAATTCCGTTATTGACTAACGTGATTAAAGTCGACGATGATATACAAGAATAGGCGATAACAAACATTCGTACGATCTAAATGGAGTCAGATCTATGGGCCACTAAAATGGTGAGCCCTTCAACGAACATCGTCCGATTTAAGCGACGACAAAACTACGAGCCTCCTAAAATGGTGAGCCTGCCGACTACGAGCGCAACGCAGCAAGCTACGTCGATGAAGGAACGGCGGCACTCCATATTTTCAACGAACTAAAATGGTAAGCCCGCCGACGACGAACAAATTCAGCGAAGCCAGCTCAATCTGTAATCCGATGCACTCAGCAAAGCCTGTGCAGCACGACATGGACATGCACAAATCTTATTGTTACTTTGTCCTCATGTCAATTATCCTCATTGATCCATTTGTCGGATTGTTCCATTACAATTCAAATTATCATTGTATGCTTATTATTAAATTATTGTCAATATTATGACCGAATGTGGAATTATTAATCATGTTCATGTTGTCATTCAATTATGATATTTTTGCAATCATATTGCTCACCGAACAAATTATCATTTTATGAACACTCCACTTTATGACATTCAAAACTCACTGGAATATTTTTACTATTCAAAACATGAAATTTTCCTGCTTTAAATGAGTTCGTTCCAATTTTTTTCCATGTCATTTTGATCTAATATTACATTCAATCACTTAGTCAAGGTCATTATTTTATGTTATCACAACATACATTTTTCATTCCGAAATCGACTCCCATTATGTCTGTGGATGCCTCTAACTAGCTGATTAGTAACCATTATGTTCATCTTATTTATTCTTCCACATGTATAACCACATGACGCATTACTTATCAACCAAAAACATTATTCCAGTACTGCAACTACTATTCTATACCCATCACACGGTATATCATAACATAGCGTTTAGAGCTAGTCTCTCAAAGATACACTCTTGTTCCTTACATCCAAGTCAGTCTCATACGTCGCCATCGCTAATCGAATGTATTGGTATTTTTGTCACGCCTTGGTACGGTTTTGTAACAAACGAGG